AGTGTCTCTTTGCATGCATAAGTTAATATTATATAAGATTCCCTGATAGATATAGCTATACTAAAAAATGTGTTCAAAGACCCCCTAATTATCAGTATCCAGACATAAAACATATATTTACTAAGGGTGTTCACCACTATTATGGAATCTCCTATGTTAAAGTTCAAGTAGAAAAAAGATTCTCTATAGTTGGTGAGGTTCTCTAGATTCTGTAATATGCCAATGACATTGTGTTGATTGTACTATCGTGACAGATGAACTCTCAGAAGTGAAGCCTCCTCAAAGGTCAATAATTCTTGATTATTACTTTCAAAATCCTCCCCCGCTCAGACCCTGTTTTTAAGCACGTAACAGGAAGAATAAGCCCTGCCCCCAACCTGAATCGTTTGCCCTTAGCTTCCCCCCTCTTCTCTCATCTCTGGAATAAGGGAGAAGGGGGTTGGGGAGGGGAGGTGGCAGTGATTTCGGTTTCCTAGAAATTACCTAACTCTTGGGAATTTGGCCCTAAACCCCCTCCTGATATGTCAGCATCAGGTTTACTAAATAAGGACATGTATGCTTGGATTGGCTATACCCTGTTTCCTTGTCTTTGAATTTTCAGGCCCAGAATGTAAGCCCACTTCCCAGTTGAGGGGATAGGAAGAAACTATTTCGCCCCTAGAATGTAAGTCCACCTCCCCAGCCAATGGGAGTAAGGGATAGTGGTGGGTGAAGGTTTTTGTATTAGGATATATAATCTCATTTTGCTTTCTGTGCCTCACCTCAATCCTGCATGTACCCAAGAAGCAGACGCCCAATCTGGCAAGATTGAAATAAAGGTAACCTTTGCTTTCCACCTTGAGAAGTCACCGAGTTTAATTTGGGTTAGGGTCGCTGTCCCACACAGTCAACCTGAAATTTTAATGAAAACAATACAACAAAATGGAGGTCTTTAATCAGGGCAAAGGAGTTGCAACTCATGGTACCACACAGCAAGTATTGGAGTACCCAAGGAGGGGAGCTGGGAACAGGGTTTATATAGAGTACCAGAGCACAGAGAATGACTAGGTGGGAGGGGTCAAGCATCTCACATATTCATAAGGTAAATTATTTCACATAATGTGAGACCTGCTTGAGCCCCTCATCATCCAAAGAATGCCAAAAACCTGGAATGGCTAACTGGAAAAGATTATTTGAGCCCTTCTGGACTGACATTAATAATCCTTTGTAACGCTCTCTGAATGAAGCCAAAATCTTCCTGCTACATCAACAGCCATAAGACCAGATTAAGCTTGCACAGACATCCTGAAGTCAGAGGTACTTCCTTGCCTTAAGGAAACTGTAATCTTGGCTAAGAAAAAGACAGACAGCCTGAGTCCGGGGCTCTTCCTTGCTTCATGGTTTTATAATTGGTGCTGCCTAACCCCAAAGCAAGCTCAGTTATGACTGTAGCTCCCATAAATTCATGGGCATGCCCCCCTGTTTCGAGAGAAATAAAAATGCATACAGCCTGATTTCTTAGAATGAACTCTGGAGGTTGACAATAAGTAGCGAAAGTACTTAAGGAAAGCTTGGGAATCTTTGGAGAGAAGAGTTTGGGAGATTTACAAAATAATCAGAGGCCAGAGTGACAAGTGTCTGGTCAGCCCCAGGCAATTCATTGACCTGGGAACTGAAATCAGATCAGGATCAGTCTATTTCTCAAGTCAATTGTGTTTGTCAGTACTGAGACCTGAAACACCAGAGAAACTCCACAATAAGAGCCAAGTCCTCTAACTAGATACACCTTACAATTTACATGGGAAAGGTCAAGTGGATAAATAATACATGGGCATAAAAATCTGGCTCTTATACAGGCCTGTCTTGGTAGTTTAGGTCTGAAATGAGGTGCTCACAATTCATCTAGCAGTTAACAAAAGAAGGTTTGCTTAGTGAGATGGGGAGAAAGTTATCAGAGCAATGAAGGGATGAACACCCAGGATCAAGCATTGTTTCAGTTGAGCAGATTCCCAGTTTTGTTCATGCTGTCTACAATCTGAAGCCTAGAAGAGGAGCCCCTCATGTCCTCCTGAGTCTTAGTCTTCTGTAACAATCAAATCTGAAGGCAGTTTCAATATGTTTTCAGGAAAAACTAACCTAACATATGGAGGGAGAGAGGGTTAGGATACTGCTCCCATAATACCCAAACATTTAGGATCTTCTAGAGGACCTTTCAGCACTTAAATGACTTAAGGGCTACTGGTCTACCCTGATCTCAGAGATAACGCCAGGCAAAAAGCATTTATTAAGCCCTTTGTACCAGACATTACCGAGTGCTAAGGACCCAAATATAAGCAAAAAGAAACATAATCCTTTCAAGGAATTTATGTTCTAATGGAGGGGAAGGGGAGACTACGCAAAAAGGAGCTGAAAATTGAGGGCATGGAGGAAGTGGAGAACATACTTTTGAGGAACATGTTGTCAAAGTCAAGAAAGTCAGTAGCAAAAATAGGAAAGGAATAAAAATTGGCCAGGCTGGGCCTCTTTTCCAAAATGGAGGCTCAAGGAGAAACTCAGCAATGGAAGAAAGGGGCCAGCATGGTAAAGGGATGTTTCAAGGTGAAGGCAGGCTTTAGGAGTTGAGAGTAAAATAGCAGTGAAGGCATGGTGTCAAAGTCTAGAAGGTCAGAAGCAGAGCCAGGAGGAGAAGATACAAGAAGCTTGACATAAGCAACAATGAAGAAGGAAAATTAAAATTAAAAGACAGCAAAAATAATAAAACAAAACAATGTAACAGGCCTATGGAGGAATAACTGAATATGGAAGAATAAAGACCAGAAATTCTAGACTTTGCTTCCCCTTTCTAATCTACCCAACCACTTGAAAGGGCTGAATCCCAAATCTCAACAATCTGATCAATGTGGTTGATGACAAATCTCTGCAGTTCACAACGAGCCTCTCAATCTAAAGCAGGAACATCAGAGCTTTACATGACAGCACTTCTGATAGTCATGAATCTCACCGAGGGTCTGGGAGAATTGCCCAGTACCACCACCCACTTAGGATTTGGCCCACCAGCGAGTACCTATCCCTTCCTGGGAGATCTATGGGAGGAGGAAGGGGATTAAATATCTTTATCCATTAGGGACCACTATCCCCTTCTTTTATTGAGAATGGATGGACACTTCCTCATTGTGATCAGAAAGCAAGCCCTCTACCAACACTATGGCTCCTTGGTCCTCCAAGCCTTCCCTGGAGAGAAGTTTCCAGGAACCAATAGGTGCTTTGGGGAGAGCCAAACAGTTCTAGATTATAGTAAGCAAAGGACTACATTGAGTCTGCTTTGCCACAGCTAGGGTCAGTGCTCACTCTACTGGGACCCATATGTCTGCCCACTGTGCTGGTTACTATGGCCAGCTCCACTACCCACTACTACTTATCAATGGGTGCAAGTGCATTGCAAAGCTAGGTGACTGGAAATATTGTTATGTTCTTGATTGTAATAAGAAAAAAATTTGTGAGTATGAGGGTGGAGAGAGTTCTGTTTTGGACATGCTAAGTTGGAGATATAATATTCAGGACGTCCAAAAGGCATTGGTGATGCAGAACTGGAGCTCAGAAGAACAAAAGAATGATTAAAAAAGAAGAAAATATAAGACATTGTGGAGCCAAGATGGCAGAGTAAAGGCAGGGACTCAGAGCTCTCCCCCAAGACCCACAGATCCACCAGAATGAATTCAACCCAACCCTTCTTTCAGCCAAAGACTAGGTTTATTAAAGATTTACCATATTGGCCAGATTCTTAATGAATCTGAACATTTGTGAGCTATTGGCTAGATTATAAGAATCTAAGCACCTTAATGGAGACAAGATGGACCTTATATACAGAAAGACTATGGGAGGGATCTAGGAGTGACCAAGTAGTTTGGGGGGGTGACTGTAGGAGGGATCTAGGGAGGCTCTTGATGGGAGTGGCCAGTAGGCTGGTGTTACTAGAGGTCGCAATCGACCTAGGGATGGGGTCTAGATAGGATCAGGTATGGGAAGTAGCTGGGGGCCAGCCCAGGTAACAAACAATGGAGGCCTGGGCTAGGTTAAGGATAACCAAGAATTGGGAGACTGGGTCTGGGTGCAATGAAAGGCCAGTTTATTATAGCCTCAGGCAAATACTATAGACTTCCTAGATCTAGAGGGAGAATTCAAGGAGAGTGTTTCCAAAGCCTGTACCCCAATCAGATACTACTACTGATTCCCTGCCCTCACATAGCTAAAAGATTGTACAGCAGGGATCCTACTACTCTATGAACAAAGAAAAGCCAGTCTTCCTGTAACCTAGAAAAGGCTTTTCTCATAGTGGGTCACATGGCTGTGGTTGAATAACTCTCATGGGAAAGGGGGGAAGGGAATAAGGCTCAAAAAACTTGGAAACATGACTCTTTTACACTACCTTGTGCCCCAAAAAGCAAATTAAACCCAATTTTTCAAAATAAGAGTGAATGTATTAGACCAAAATCCAAAGCGCACTGAGGGAAGGGTGGGGGGAAATGCCTGTTAATTGAAACAATAAAAAGTAGCCACCAAAAAAAAAATCAAAAATATTAGATTCAAACAGAATGAATATCTGCTTTAATGCTCATGCAGCTCTTCCCTTCCTATTACACAACTACAAAAGTTCTTCGGATGTGTTCTCCCTTCTCTTCTCGAGAAAACTATCACTATTATTTCGAAATAATATCCTGCATAACTCTCACCCCACTAGCTCCCTAAGATCTGCAACCTTCCTTCCCCCAACAAAAAGCCATGTCAACTTTCGACCCCCAAGAAGCGGAAGGGGAGCACGCGCACTGAGAAATGGGGGGAGAGAAAGGGGAAGGAAGAAGCTCAGAGAGAGACAGAAAGAGAGACAGAGACAGAGAATTTGGGAAAGCTGAGGCAGTGAAGAGGGCGCTCTTGCACGCACAGGCACCGAGATCACCGTCCGCCAGTGGCCCAGGTCTTCCAGGAAAGCGTGGGTGGAGGGTGAGAGGGCAGTCACGTGGCAGAAAGAGGAAGCCCTTATGCGGGAGGGGAGCGGAGGGAGCGGAAAGGGGGAGGGAGCGGAAAGGAGACGTTTGCTTCCCCGCCCCTCTCAGCCTCTCCAGCTCGGCTCCTTGCCGCGGGGTTACCAGTTCCTGCCCACGCCGGGCGCAAGCGCAAAAGAGGTCGGAGCTAGCCGCGTTCCGGCGCTGTTTACGAAGTGGGGGCCCCGCGCTGCTTCCGAGGAACGGTCTCCCCTGGAGAATGTAACCCCGAGGGCGGTGGCGACTTTGCCACCGGCCAGGACGATGTCCTCCTTCTCCCGGGCCGCGGTCCTGGTGCTGCTGGTCGCCTCCGGGGGGCTGTCGCACTTCTCCCGAGCTGCCGGTGAGCCTCCCCGGGGAGGGTGGCCCCAGGCGAAGGGTGTGGCTGAGGACTGTGGAGTGCTTGGGGGGTGGGCGTGGGGAAGGGGAGATGGGGACACCGCTCTGGTTAGGGGATGCGGTCCCTCCTCGCTCCCACTCTTCCCTTGACCGCCCCGCACCCCGGGCTAAACCAAGTCCTCCCCGCCCCCAGTCTTTTGGGCTGTGGCTGAGCCTTCTTCCAAGCGAAAGATGCCTTGCGAGGAAGAATTCGCTAACTTCCCGTGGTAGTCTTCTCATTTTCCCAAGGAGGAACAGAGAGGTTAAGCGACTTGCCTAGGCTCACACTGCTGCTAAATGTTAGCAGTCAGTTAGCCAACTAGCATTTATGAAGCGCCTGCTGTATGCCACAGCCACCGTCCCGAGCTCAGGATGCAAAAAGAGGCAAAGGACAAGGCCCTGCCCTTAAGGAGCTCTGGGTCCTGATGGAATGAGAGAGATGACATGCAAACAGTTATGTGCATACTCTGTATGTGCGGGATAAATTGGAGATTTGTCAACAGAAGGAAGGCACCAGGACTAAGGGGAAATGACCGAGGGAGGCTTCTTGTAGAAGGACCTGTCGGAAACCAGGGAAGCCAGAGAAGGAGGCAGAGATGAAGAAAGAGAGGGACAGCTAATGAGAATGCCGGGAGTCGGGAGGTGGAATGCCTTTGGGAGAGGAAGCTTTCGCTGAAGTTCATTTGTTTGAGGGGGTTAGCAGTGGTATTTTCTCGGGAGTTTTGGGAGATCTGTATGGCTGAATCGTCTTCTTAAATACAGGGGTTTCAGCATTCTGGTCCTGGGTAATGGTAATAATGCTTCACGTTTGCAGCGGGCATTCTTTTGAGCCGATGAGTACATTTTGACAACGTAAAAGTATAAGGCACTTACAAAGTATCTTTGTGACAGTCGACTGCAATTTAAAAAGGGGTAAGGTGGCAAGAAATTCAGTAGTGTTGTTTGAATGGCATTGTGGTACTTGTTATTACAGAAAATTAATAACATAGCATTAGATACAGTACTGGTTTACAGAGGGTTTTTACGTGTTTTAAAGATCATATATCAAAAAATAATTTTTTTCTACACCTTTGACTTTTTTATCTTTTACTTTTTTTCTAGACTGGCTTTGTTGGGGGGGTTAATATAAATACTTTAGCACAGTTTAGAAATTGTAAATGATTAAAAATTGTTTTATGAGCACATCCTTTGAACATTATACGTGAATGAGTACCAAGAGTGAAATACCAGTGCTAGCTGGAGGTATTCAGTTGGAGTTTATTAGATATAAATTTATTTAATATTCGAAGGAATTTGCAAATTTGTCTTCGTATTTATAAAATTTCAACCTAAAAAAAGTTCCTTAATTTTAAAAAATTTACTGTGTTTTTGTTTATTCCTCTGACTTTTCCTAATGATTAACCAAAAAAGGTAACACTCTCCTTTTTCCCTGGCAGTTCTTCCATTGATAAGTAGCTTTTACATAACTGTAGTATAAGTTTCAATGTACAATTTTTTAAGCGTACGAATAAAATAATACATTTTTCAAAGTAAAAAATAATTATAATAACATAGCGTTAATGTCATACCAGTAAATCAGGTGTAGTAGGACTGGCTAGCAAGGACAGAGCCTGAGAAGCAGGTATTTCAGAGGCATTATCTGTTGCATAGCTTGCAATGCATGGCAGGAACAAGGTAAGAGAAAATGTAGGAGAAATTTGAGTCCAGTACAGGTCAGATGGCATGTGTACCTTCTGGAGGGTCTATTAATGAGGACTTAGGCTGGACTAATAACGGTGCATTAAGTTGATGGAAAGGGGCCTCATACAGAATTCAGAAACAAAAATAGAGATTTGAAGAAAAAAAAGTCAAGGAAACTACAGCTGCACTTCTAAGTCAACAAGCATTTATTAAGAGTGTGCCAGGCACAGTAGACAGCTAATTCAAAGGTTAGTACCAAGAGCTCTAAGTTTAGAATTAGTAGTCTGTCTGGGGTGTCAGAGACAAGATGTGAATGGTTTCCAGATGGGCATGTTTCAACAATGATGTACTGTCTGTGCTGTCCTGCTAAATCCGATTAGACGTAGCTCCACTCTGAAAAATCACCCCATCAGTGTTGTGCTATTTGGATGTATGGAAGTGGAGGAAGGGTAAAAGACATCTTTTGGGTTTCCTGTAAGTGTCCTCCTGATTGATAAGGAGGGAATCACTGAGGTCCTCAATCACAGGGAACAGGTTCAGGAGAATTTTACACTTTGAAACTCTGGGAAGCATGTAGGAGACTTAAATTTATAGATAATTGAAATTAAGTAACACAAATCTTAGCTAAGGTTTACTTGGCCTCTCCGTTTAAAAGCTGCTAGTTGATAAAATAGACTACATGGTTGTTTATAGTTCACAATTATGTTTTTAGAACTATTATTTGACCACTATTGGGAAATGGCTTTTGGTCATATACAGTGTGTCAGAAACATTTTAATGCAGTTTTGAGTTTTAATAATGTCAGAAGTTTAAAAGCTACAGACTTGCAAGAAACATTTTTAAGATCAATTATTTAAGGGTTTTTTTTAAAATTAGTTTCTTATTAAAATTCAATATAATTACTGTGTTATAAACCACTCTAGTCCACTTTCAAACTTTGTAAGAAACCTGCATTAGTAGCTGCTCAGGACTGAAAGATTGCATTTGTAATCCTAGCCTTAAGAATATTGAAAGAACAAGGTTTTGATACACACATAACAGTTTTGACAAGACGTCCCAAGACAAATTCTAATGGAGACAGCTCAAGTGACCAAGGTAGCTGTGCAAGACTTCCTCTGGGGATATGCTGGTATAAGAATTTATCCTCCAGGGGCAGCTAGGTGGCACAGTGGATAGAGCACCAGCCCTGGAGTTAGGAAGACCTGAGCTCAAACCTAGCCTCAGATCAAACACTTAACAGTTACTAGCTGTGTGACCCTGGGCAAGTCACTTAACCCCAGTCACCTAAAATTAAAAAAAAAAAAGAAGAAGAAGAAGAACTTATCCTCCAGAAATTGTCACATATTGTAACGCGTGATGACTGGGTGCATAAAAATTAGAATTTTATTATTCAGAATTAAGAAAGTTGTGCAGGTGTAAATGAAATTTAAATAATTAGACTCTCTAATGATGTTTTTTGTACATTTATAGCATTTGTAATTCGGAAGATATTAAAGCTTAAAACTGCACTAAGACTTTTGGAACATTCTGTATATGTTGGATGCCAAACTTTTTTCTAAGAAATTTGATATAAAGATTTTTTTCTGCATTAGACCATTTCCTTTCTTATATTAGATCCTTTAATTTATTTTGCACAGAAACTTCAGTTTCATTTAATCACAGGTTATCTATTTTATCTTTTGTAATTGCTTTTTATCCATTGTTTGTGTAGGAATACATCTCCTACCCATTGTCGTGGATGAAATAAAATCTGATTCTCTTTTAATATTTTTGTGGTATAACCTTTAATATAAGGTCATATATGTACTCTTAAACCAGAGTATTGAGCAAGACTTTAATAGAATATTTATGGTCACTCTTTACCCCTAGATTACCTACTCAGTACTAGGAGTATTGACTCTCTAGTCCAAGGATTCTAGAGGTGTCATGTTCGGTATTCCAGGATGAACCTTTCACCTGTAGTTCTTGGCATTTTCACTTCTAAAGATTCCTCTTTTGTTGCTTTAACTGGACAGTAATTTATTTCCAAAACTGAACTCTAAATCACCTTTGATGTGCCTAGAGTATATCTGGAAACTTAATCCAAGCCCTTTATATTCTCTACTGTTGAAGTTCCTAAGCCAGGTGGTACTTCCCCAAAATATATAAGTATAAATACCTAAAGAAGCTACATCCTCATTACAAATAACTTTAAAATAATCTTCTTACCATAGGTCCCGTTTCCTTTTTTTCATTAATTATTGATCATGTTGATAAACTTGTTGAATTGTTATATATGTAATTATGTATATGTGTATGCATACCCAAAAAATTGCTTTTCCTTTCCAGCACAAATTGGTCCTCCAGAAGTACAGTTAGAAGCTGAAGATACATCAATAATAATAAATATTTCTCCTCCTGGAACAATAAATAGTAGCATGTGGGCTACTCATTTTACCTATAGTCTGGTTATTTGGAAAAACTCTTCAAGTGTAGAAGTAAGTAATAATTGGGTTTCTAAAAATGTGATGTGGGAATACAGTTGATTTTGAAAAGAATGAAAAATAGAAGAACATTTGAAAAATTAGATTCCAAAATTGGATTTTATTTTAAAAAGAATACATTTCTCTGTTATTATAGGAAACTCGTCATACTGTTTATTCTGGAGAAAAAATTAATGATCTTTTGCCAGAAACTACTTATTGTTTAAAAGTTCGAGCAAGATTACCTATACAGAAAAAAAGTGGTTCCTATAGTCCAACACTTTGTATAAATACTACAGGTAAGAAAGAAATCATTTTAGATCAGCTAGGAGATATACATGTATTTTTAGAAAAAAAACCAAGATCACTAGATAATAAGAGTATTTACATAATTTTAAAAGTCTATTTGGGATTTTTTTCTGAAGTTAATTTACTGCTTCTTGTCAAGAAAATGTTTTGTTTTTTTTTTAAAGGAAGTCTAAGATTTTTTCACTTAAAGAAATATCCGTGGAGCCGCTAGGTGGCGCAGTGGGTGGAGCACTGGCCCTGGATATGGGAGGACTTGAGTTCAAATGTAACCTCAGACACAAAACGCTTACTAGTTGTGTGACCCTGGGCAAGTCACTTAACCCCATTGCCTAGCCAAAAAAAAAAAAAGAAAGAAATGTCCATAGTAAAATAGATTGCTTTTTATCTTTTCCCAATCCACAGAAAGAAGATGGTTTGCTTTTAGAAAACCTTCCGTAAAATGCCACCTTAAAAGTATTTTAATATTGTTGCGTTATGACATTGTGATAATTGTGTTTAAGCAGTATACCTTGCTAAATAGTCAAAGTGAACTAGAGCTGTTAGCACTATATATCATTTTGCCAGAGCAAAAATTTAACTTTTTTACATATTATTTGACCTTCTAGCTCAACATAAACTACCTCGTCCAGAAAATGTAGAAGTTGATGCTGTAAATAACTATATTCTTAAATGGAATTATCCATATGAAAACATGAACTTTCAAGTTCAGTATCTCCTGTAAGTTCAACAAGCCTGTTCTGTTCACTTTCCTTGTCTGTGTATGTCATGTTGTTCCTACCAATGCTTTATTTTTCTAACCAAAGTCTCCCTATCTACAATCTGGTTAATTTCACTTGTTATTAAACCTGGATTGACATCATCCATTAAACCATCTTTTTTTCTTTTAAAATTTTTAAGTCTTGATTTTTCCATGAAATCCTTTTAAATTGGTTATAATTATCACATCATTCTTTGAAGCCATTTTCGTAAATACTTTATGTGTTCTTGGGTGAGAGGTTAAGGAAAGATGGGAAGGAGAAAACAATCTCTTCATCTAGCTGACAACTGGCTAGCCAACAGCAGAAGTAACCAAGTCAGTGGGTGGGAACCAAGCTTAAATGGAAACTCAAGAAAAAATGTGCTGACTGAACAACAATAATAGACATTGGGGAGAGAATAGAATGAAGAGGGAAGAGAAACTTTAAGGGGAAGGGGAAGAGAAAGAGAATGAAATAAGTCAAGGAAAAGAAGGGTTAGTAAAGATCTAGAATGGTGAATCCAAAGAAAGGAAGTAGGGAAAAGAGGAATCAGAAGAGAAGCCATCATTCCCAAGCTCTGTTTATCATTCCTCAAAGTTGAATGGTCTAAGAAGGGATCTACAGAAAGAAAGTAAAACTTCGCTGGTATTCAAGTATAATCACACAAACTGATTAGAAAGTTGGTGTTGATGGTTTTTTGGTATGTGCTTTAAGTTTTACCCTTAACATACTTAATAATAGAGCCATTGAAGAAAGAGTGTTTCTGAGAGTTTGGCCATGCAATGAGTGATAGACAAAATTTATGTGAAGTAGTTTATTAATGTAATTTAAACTCCAAGGCAAGTGGCATAGATTGTAAGTGCAATAAAAGTTGAATATCGAGATCGAGAGGTGGTCAGAAAATGCACTGTGTACCTCTAATGGACTTAAATTTTATTTCATATTAATAGTTATTTATGAATCATTGTCCCTGCCCCTAATAGCCTATAAATTTCCCAAGGGCAAGGATGTCTTTCTATAAACTTTGTATGTCTCCTAGATGGTCAACACTTCAGACATTTTCAGAAAATATACCAGGAACATCTTAAGAGCATTTAAAAATCTGATTGATGGACACTTGATTTGTTCATACTGTTAAATGATAAATATGAGTAATACAAGTAAAATTATTTCTAAATTTTATAAAGGTCTAATGTGTTTAATTCTGAAACTGTTGAACTTTTTTAAAAGTAAATTACATTTTATCTTATAGTGGTTATTATAAAAGAATTCCAAGTGACTACTCAGATAAATGGAAAACTGTATCTGATTGTAAACGTATCGTAAGTAGACATTGTGACTTCTCAGAAGAAATCACCACAGATGGGATTTATTATCTGCGTGTACAAGCTTCAAATGGAACTATCACATCTTTTTGGTCTGCTGAGAGAAAATTTGATACTAGAATACATAGTAAGCAGATAAATGTTATAATTCTCCTTTGCTGATGTGAGTATTTTTAAGTTTTCTTTTTCTAATTAGATTTTCTTTCTCTCCATAAAATATATCTAGCCAGAAGAGGTCCTCCAAGCATAGTAGTGAAACCCCATAAGGACTCACTTTCTGTCTACATTAATGTTCCAGGAGAATCTGAAAAAAAGCCAACGAGCCAGGATTATCCATTAATTTATGAAGTTATTTACTGGGAAAATGCTTCAAATATTGAGGTAAAAACATGAGTACTATTTTCCAATTTAAGAGGTTCATGAGGTTCATTTTAACACTAGATTAATTGAGTTAGAAAAATCAACCAGTCAGCATTTATATTATGCCTACTGTATACCCAGGTACTTTACAGGGGCCTGGGAATGCAAATATAAAGAATGAAACGATCTCTAATCTCAGGGAGTTTGCATTCTAACAATTTGAAGTTTTAAATTTGGAGTAAAGTCTGAACTTTAAGGCTATATAATTAACTCAGCTAATTATGGTAGAGGAGATGATACAATAGATAGTATAGGACCTCAATTAATCTGTTTCCCCAGATTGCTTTTCGTCTGTGAAATAGGAATCAAAAGTAGTCTCTGAAGATGCTGTTAGGTAAGAATAGTAAAATTGGTTGGTTGGTTGGTTTTCTATCTCCTGTTACAAGTTTGAGCAATTATAAGTAATGTAGTCACTTTACCTTCTGAATCCACTGTCGCCATTCCTCAATAGCATACATCTTTCACTTTAGAATTAGTCACTTTCAATTAGCCATGTTTGAGAAAAGGAACAATAGCATGGGTTAATCCAAACTAGAAGACGAGGCATTTCAAAGTTCAAAAATGTAACTTAGTTTACATAATTTTATTTTTTTGGCAGGAACAAATTTAACTTCTCACCTTAGTAGTTATATGCAAACTTATACAGTTTGCATTTCTTGAGCACCTATCACCTAGTGCAAGGGCAGAAAGACCAGAAGTAAATAATAATAAAGCACTTTATATATTTGATCTTCACAACAACCCTGTGAGGTAGGCTGTACAATTATAATCAATTTACTTTACAGATGAGGAAAGTGAGGCCTCCAGAGGTTAAGTGACTTGTCCAAGGCCTTTGAACTCATCAGTGATAAAGTAGTTAGACCCTAGTTCTTCTGACTCCAAACTGAGCGCTAAGTAGAGGTCAGTTTGGAATTAAACACTTGACACAGATTATCCACAAAATGGATATTTCACATCGTCATAATTTAGAGTTGACTCCTGTATTGAAGTGTGTGTGTAAATTTTTCCCTTTTTTTTCCCTTACAGAACAAAATGATAGTAAAACAGAAATTATTTGAAGTTTCTGATTTGAAGCCCCTGACTCTGTATTGTTTGAAGGTCAGAGCACTTCTTGACAATGAAAAGAGCAGCAAAGGCAGTCAATTTAGTAATGTTGAATGCAGTAAGATAACACCAGGTCAGTGGAGATTTTTTGTGTGTATCTGTATAGCAGATGAACTTGACAAAAATTATTTTACTCAAATACTCAAAGGGATCCACAGTCTCATGGAACAAAAACAATTTTAGATTATTGATAAATGCTATAAAAATGTTCCCTTTTCTCCTCCCTTCAATATACAACACCAGGTATAGTGTAACTCTTTTAGGTAGTTTTTCATGATACATTTATGAAATTGTTTTATCATTTTTTCCATCATTAAATAGGTATGTAAGAAGTCTTTCAAATGCTTTATGAACGTGAGCTTGGGTTTTGAACTCCATATTCTTTCTTTTTTTCCTTTAAGTCAGTTTTCTTTTGTTTTCTATTCCAAGTTCTCTCCCACTTCCCCCTTCCCACCCATTGAAAAAGCAAGAAAAATAAAACCAGTTACAAATACATGTACTTAAGCAAAATCCCCAGTTAACCATGTCAAAAAAAAAGCTTCTGTCTATACTTTGAGTTGATCACCTCTCTATGTGGCTGGGGGGGAGAGGGAATAGTGTGTTTCCTCATGGGTCCTCTGGAACTGTGGTTGGCTCATTGTGTTAATCAGTGAAACCAAAGTCCACATACTTTGTTTTCCTGTCATAAATTCTTAGGATCTCACTTAACCGTATGCTCTTTGAAATCTCTTGCATATTTTTTATTAATGTAATTAAGATATTTTGGTTTATCACTTCATTATTTTGTTGGATCTTTTCAGCATGTAGTATTTCTTAGCCTCATTGTGTTGCCTCTAGTGGTAATTGTAGGTGCTATTTAGATTCTTGTTTCCTTAATCCTGTTATCTCTATTAGTTATAAGTTAGAGACCAGTGTACTTTTTTGACTGAGAATATATGAGGACCTAATCAGATCTTTCTGAAAAATTGTGTTAGTTTTTAGGATATGGATAAAATATTAATCTCTTTGGAAAATATAGACTGTATGCTTGTAGAAAACATTTAAAGGGCATATTAAGTTTATAAGCAATATAACTGGGTTTTTGTGTTTGTTTTTGGGGGGTTTTTTGGTGAGGCAGTTGGGGTTAAGTGACTTGCCCAGAGTCACACAGCTAGTGAATATTATGTGTTTGAGGTCAGATTTGCACTCAGGTCCTCCTGACTCCAGGGCTAGTGCCACCTCACTGCCCCAATATAGCTATTTTCTATGCAGAGTAAATCATTCAAGCAGAATGAATGGACTGAGTTTGAATGGACTTGACCAAGAGGTTCCTCTACAAATCACCAAGAAGTGATCATCTCACGTCTGCTTAATAACCTCCACTGAGGAGTGTCAGTTACTTCCTAAGTTAGCACCCTCCCCTTTGGATAGCGCTCATTTTGGGGAATTTTTATCTTTACTTCAAGCCTAGAGCTGTCTGTAAGTTACACTCGTTGCTTCTAATTCTACCCTCAGGAGTCAAGAATAAGCCTAATCCCTTCTACTTGACAACTCCTCAAATATTTAAAGACAGAAATCATACCCGAATCCCCCACCCGAAGGCAGTTTTTCTCTTCTCCAAATTAGTCTCCAGTAACTAATCCTTATAGAGTATGATCTTTAGTCAACAAGTTTCAGCTTACCAATGTCTATCCTTAAAGGTGATACATAGAACTAAAAACAGTGCTGTAGATGTGCTCTGACTGGGACAGGTTTCAGTGGAAATCTTCTTTCTGTATACCAAGAGGCTTTTAAACACAACGTCAGATAGCATTAACTTTTTTGTCTATCTTGTCATAGCACTGGCTCAAACTGAGCTTGCAATCCACTAAAACCCATGATCTTTTTCATAAGAATTATTATCTAGCCACTCTTCCTCATACTAACTTAAGAAGATTTTTTAATTTTACATTTATCCCTATTAAATTACTATTATGGTCTATGTTAAGAGAGGCATAGTTTCCAACAATTCAGAGGTGATACTTTGTGCCATATTTTAGGGAGGACATTGATAAGCTAGAGAGCACACAGGGGAATGTATTCAGGACTGTGAAAGGGCTGAAGATAATAATGTATAAAAATTGGTTGAAGGAACTGAGGCTATTTGACCTGGAGAAGAGAAGATTTTCAAAGGAGGGAAATGAGATCCATTTTCAAGTATTTGAAAGACTTGTCACATGGAAGAGGGATTTGACATGTTTTTCTTAACTTCATAGGCAGAACTTAGGATCAATTTGTGGAAGATATAAAGAGGCAAAGTTACACTTGATAGAGGGCTATCTAGACAGGCTTAGGATCTTTCAGTGGAGGTCTTTTTTTATTATTTATTTTATTAATTTTTGATTTAGCAACAATCACTTCCATATGCATTTAAGGTTAAAATTTTTCTCTCCCTCCCCACCACCCTCCCCAAGAGGGCACACAATCTAATATAGGCTATACATTTACATTGCTATTAAACCTATTTTCACATTAGTGATGTTGTAAGTAAAAATTAAAACCTGTAGAAGGAACCATCAGAAAGAGGAAACAAAACTCAACAGAAGGGAAAAAAAAAAGATGGCGATTCAATTTCTATAGTTCTTTCTTTGGATGTGGATAGCATTTTCTATCACGAGGCCTCTGGAGATGTCTTATATCCTTGTATTGCTGAGAAGGCTTAAGTTTATCAATATTAGTCATTGTACAATGTGGCTGTTATTGTGTACAAAGTCCTCTTGGTTCTGCTCACTTCACTCAGCATCAGACCATACAAGTCTTTCCAGGTTTTTCTGAAGTCAGCCTGTTCATCATTTCTTATAGCACAATAGTATTCCATTACATTCATATACCACAACTTGCTCTGCCATTCCCCAATTGATGGGCATCCTCTCAATTTCCAATTTTTGCCACCACAAAAAGAGCTGCTATGAATATTTTTGTACATGTGGGTCCTTTTCCCATTTGTATGATCTCTTTGGGATATAGCCCTAGAAGTGCTATTGGGTCAAAGGGTATGCACATTTTTATAGCCCTTTGGGCATAGTTCCAAATGGTTCTCCAAAATGGTTGGATCATTTCACAACTCCACCAGCAATGCATTCATGTTCCAATTTTCCCATCTTCTCCAACATTTATCATTTTCCTGTTTTGTCATGTTGGCCAATCTGATAGGTGTGATGTGGTACCTCAGAGTTGTTTTGATTTGCATTTCTCTAATCAATAATGATTTAGAGCATTTTTTCATATGACTATAGATGGCTTTAATTTCTTCATCTGAGAACTGTTCATATCCTTTGACCATTTATCAATTGGGGAATGGCTTGTATTCTTATAAATTTGTCTTAATTCTCTATATATTTTAGAAATGAGGCCTTTATCAGAGAGACTGGTTGTAAAAATTCTTTCCCAATTTTCTACCTTCCTTCTAATCTTAGTTGCATTGGCTTTGTTTGTGCAAAAACTTTTCAATTTAATGTAATCAAAATTATCCATTTTGCTTTTCATAATGTTCTCTATCTCCTGTTTGGTCATGAATTCTTCTGTTCTCCATAGATCTGATAGGTAAACTATTCCTTGTTCTCCCAGTTTGCTTATAGTATCAGCCTTTATATCTAAATCATGAACCCATTTTGACTTTATTTTGGTATATGGTGTGAGATTTGGGTCTATGCCTAGTTTCTGCCATACTCTTTTCCAGTTTTCCCAGCAGTTTTTTCAAAGAGTGGGTTCTTATCCCAGAAGCTGGGGTCTTTGGGTTTATCAAATAATAGATTACTATAGTCATTGACTACTGTGTCTTGCATATTTAACCTATTCCACTGATCCCCATCTATTTCTTAGCCAGTACCAAGCAGTTTTGATGATTGCTGCTTTATAATACAATTTAAGATCTGGAATTGCTAGGCCACCTTCCCCTGCATTTCTTTTCATTAGTTCCTTTGATATTCTGGACCTTTTGTTCTTCCAAATGAATCTTATTTTTTTTTCTAACTATAAAATAATTTTTTGGTAGTTTGATTGGTATGGCACTGAATAAGTAAATTAGCTTAGATAGGATTGTCATTTTTATTATATTAGCTCAGCCTACCCATGAGCAACTGATGTTTTTCCAATTATTTAGATCTGATTTTATTTGTGTGAAAAGTGTTTTGTAATTGTGTTCATAGAGTTCCTGGGTTTGTTTCGGGAGGTAGACTCCTAAATATTTTATAATGTCTACAGTAAGTTTAAATGGAATTTCTCTTTCTATCTCTTGCTGTTGGGCTTTGTTGGTAATATATAGAAATGCTCATGATTTATGTGGGTTTATTTTATAGCCTGCAACTTTGCTAAAGTTGTTTATTATTTCAAGTAGTTTTTTACTTGATTCTCTAGGATTCTCTAAGTATATCATCATGTCATCTGCAAAGAGTGATAGCTTTGTTTCTTCTTTGCCTATTCTAATACCTTCAATTTCTTTTTCTTCTCTTATTGCTAAAGCTAATGTTTCCAGTACATTATTGAATAACAGTGGTGATAATGGACATCCTTGTTTCACCCCCGATCTTATTGGAAATGCTTCTAGGGGCAGCTAGGTGGTGCAGTGGATAGAGCACCAGCCCTGAAGTCAGTATTACCTTGAGTTCAAATCCGGCCCCAGACCAAACACTTGACACTTACTAGCTGTGTGACCCTGGGCAAGTCACTTAACCTCAATTGCCCAAAAAAAAACGTAAAATGGAAATGCTTCTAGCTTGTCCCCATTACATATAATGCTTGCTGAAGGTTTTAGATAGATGCTATTTAGTATTTTAAGAAAGACTCCAATGGAGGTCTTTGAGGACTGACTGCATCACCACTTATCAGGCATATTGCAATGTGTATTCTTGTTCAGGTATGGGTTGGACTAGATGGCCTCCAAGAATCCCATTTAACTCTAGGATTCTGTGATTGTATACATTTCTTCTTGTTAGATTTGTCTCATCATTTTAGCCTGCCTTGATCTTTTTGGATACTAATTCTGTCATCTGTCATACTTGCTATCCCCCTCATATCATCTGCAAATTTGTCAGGCATGCCTTCTCTGCTTTAATCCAAGTCACTGATGAAAATGTTGAATGGTATAGGACCAAGGATATCTCTCTGGAGCATTCCACAGGAGCTCTCCCTCTAAGCTTATATGAGCCCATTAATGGTAACTATACATATGATAGTCCATCCAGTTCCAAATCTACCAAACTGTACTGTTACTGTAACACAAATATTGACATCTTGACCCCAACGGCAGCATGAGAGACATGGTTACGTGACACAATATTGCATCATCAAAATTTCAATGCAGGGAAAAAACCCACAAATTTAAAATAAATTATTAAATTTAAGATGCATCATTTCTTTTAAAAAATATTTTATGTTTTTTTGAAATGAAGCAAATTTCAAAACAAAAAACTATTAAGGGGTTAAAGAAAGTAGATTTCCAGGGAGGTGCTGAATAATTTTTTTTTTAAAGGGGGTAGTAGGCCAAATAAGTTTGGGAACCTCTGCTTTAGGTGAATGACTTTGATTGTTGAATGGAGGACAGATTAGAGTGGGTGGAGACTGGCAGGCAGACCTACCAACAGGCTATTACCATAATCCAAGTATGAGAAGGGTCTGCAATGGAGTGGGGTTCAGTATCAGAGGAGAGAAAAAGGCATATTCAAGAGATGTTGCAAAAGTGAAATTGACAGGCCTTGACAATAGATTGGATATGGGAAGTATGAGTTAGTGAGAAGTCATGGATGACATATAGGTTGTGAGCCTGGGGGATTGGGAGGATGCTGGTGCCCTTGACAATAAGAGAGAAGTTTGGAAGAGGGGAGGGTTTGGGGGAAAAAATGATGAGTTCAGTTTTAGAAACATTGAGCTAAAGATATTTATGGGATATCCAGTTCAAGATGTCCAGTAGGCAGTTGGAAATGTGAGACTGGAGGTTAAAGCTGGGTAAGTAGATTAGAGAATCATTTGCATAGAGATGATAATTGAATCCATGGGAACTGATGAGATTACCAGGTAAAATAGTATAGAGAGAAAAGAGAAGATGGTCCAGGACAGAGCCCAGTGGGATACCCACAGTTAATAGGCATTGATCTGGATGAAGATCAGCAAAGGAGACAGAGAAGGAGCAGTCACATAAGTAGGAAGAGAACCAGGAAAGAGCAATGTACAGAAAACCTAGAAAGAAGAGAATATCTAGAAGACAGTGATTGACAGTGTCAGAGGCTACAGAGAGGATGAGAAAGAAGGAATTTGAGAAAAGGCTATTGGATTTGGCAATTAAAGATCATTGTTAAATTTAGAGAGTTTCAGTGGAATGATGAAGTCAGAAGCCAGACTGTAGAGAGTTAAAAAGAGAATGAGAAGAAAGGTAGTAGAGGCATCCAGATAAAGAACTGATGGCTTCTAAGTGCAGATTGAAGCATACTATTTTCACTTTTTTTCATGGTTTTTTTTCCTTTTGGTCTGTTGCTTTTTTCACAACTGTGACTAATATGGAAATATGTTCTTCATGATTGCACATATATAACCTATATCAAATTGTTTACTATTTTAGGAAGAGGGGAAAGGAGGGAGGAAGAGAGAAAAATTTGGAACTCAAAATCTTGTAAAAATGAATAATAAAAATTTTCTTTACATATAATTGGGGGAAAAAAATACTGTTTGGAAAAAAAAAAGGTAGTGGAGACCTGTTGTAGATAGCCTTTTCAAGAGGTTTAGCCACAAAGGGCAGGTGAGATATGGGATGATGGGAGAGATGGATGGATCAAGTGAGGGATTTGTGAGGATGGAGAAGATATGGGCATGTTTGGAGGCAGTATTGTGAGAAATAACTCATTTGGACTTAGGAAGGATGAAGTTAAAAGCCCAGTTTATTACGCAGTTGCAAAAGCAGGTGCCCTAACACACACACACACACCAAAGCAAGAGTTCACTATTTATTTCTAATCCCAACCGCAGACTCCCTCCTCTGTTTCCTCATTGGCTGAGTATTCCAGAGTATACAACTTTCCAGCATGCCTATTACACATCTACTCCTTGACATGTAACTCTTCCTTCTACATACATCATACGTTTAGAAAATGGTGTCTTAACCCTGCCCAGAGGTGGAGAAGTTAGTATTTTTGAGCCTGTTAAGCTCACTTAACCCCAATTGCCTTAAAAAAAAAAAGTAACTACTATGTGCCAGGCACTGTGCTATGCACTAAGCTAAATTAAGGATATGAATAGAATTTAAGGGGGGAAAAGTAGATATGATAGCTATCTGGTTACTATTGAATGGGAAAAGAACATGCATATTCTTAGCTGTTTATGGCATCTTCATAAAAATAGACCATTTATTAGAGAATAAACCTTCACAAACAAACACATTTATTAACCACAACTCAGTAAAAATTGTGTTTCATGAAGGACCTTTGAAGAAAGTTCTAAAAATTGGAGACTAATTTAATCCTAAAGAGTTTGTAGATGGCCTTTCCTCTTACCTTACTTGAGAAGTAGATCTTTGGAGGCCATCTTCCTTCTTCCCCATTCTAAATCTTCTCTCATTCTCTCAACCTTTGCCTCTGTGTGAAGAGGGCTGTGAATATCTTTCCCCTGCTATGGCTAAATAAACCCCTTTCGTTAACTTCTATGAGTAATTCATTTTGGTCCAGTCTCAAGCCTGAGTAATCAGGATGGCCAGAGTCAGGCCTGGCCTATTACAGAAGTGAGGAAAATTGAGGGTACAAATGGAGGCATTAGCCTCCGCAATGACAAGGGCCTCTTCATACTCTGAAACAGAAGCAAAGATCCTTTTGCGGTTTTTCTTTTTCTTTTTTTTTTTTAAAGTTTTTAGGCAGTTGGGGTTAAGTGACTTGCCCAGGGTCACACAGCTAGTAAGTGTAGAGTATTTGGTCTGAGGCCAGATTTGAACTCAGGTCTTCCTGACTTCAGGGCCAGTGCTCTATCCACTGTGCCACCTAGCTGCCCCTGAGGTTTCATTTTTTACCTCTGCCTGGACCCTGTCCAATCACACAGCCAACAATGATCATCTTTTTAGAAGCCTCTCTCCAAGGAGTATTTAAATTATCTGCTGCCAGCACTTTTCACTTCCATTAACCAGTGGTGCCCCAGGGACAGCACTAATTTATTGGTAGGAGATTCTGATGCTAGATTTTCTCCAGACCTTTTAAAATTCACAAAGTGAATGCTAAAGGAAGGCCTCCAAGAACCATAGTACAAACCTAACTGGTTGAATCCCTATTCCATGTGAGGAGCAAGAACCATAGTACAAACCTAACTGGTTGAGTCCCTATTCCATGTGAAGAGCAACAGTTCCACTGGAATTATGTTGGGTTAGAAAAAGTCTGTGTCCAGGAGGCTGACTAGAAGCCTCTCCATCCTCTAGGTGTAATAAGTACCAGTGCTGTCATCTCTTATAGTTAGGCAGCCAACCAGGAAATTCTCAGCAGAGCAGTAATACAGGACTGGAAACCAGCCCCCCATAGATATTTCTGTTCAACCAGAATGCTACAGATTTATTTGTTTTTTGAGGGCAAAGGGAAGCATCCATTAAATTTGTTACAAAGGAAGGCTCACAGGGTGATAATGGTAGTATATTTAAAAATCCCTGAAATGTAAGACAAAGGGCAGCAATTAGATAGATACATATGTGTGTATATGACTCACTTCTTTCTCTGCCTAGAATATCGCTTATTAAATTTATTTTCTTTGAATTCCATTTTTTTTTTCAGATGAACCGAAAAAAACCTGGATTATAGTCATTTGCTTTATATTTGTCGCTGGACTGATCTTTATAGCTTATGGTTTAAAAAGACTACAGAAATTGGTAAAATATGTGTTCTATCCATCTTGCAAACCTCCTTCAAATATGGATGAGGTATGTGATACTTTTTTCCTCTTCTTTTGGAGGGATACAGAATATACAGAATTATAATCCCTCAAGATAAAATGTTAAAACTTGTATAATGTTAGAATTCAATAGAATATTTAAGATTTACTGCAGAAAATCTCATGGGCTGGTTTGTGCATTTCTCTAAGTTGCAGTAAACATATAAATGTTATGATACATATGATTAAATAGAAATCATAAAGCAGGATTTACTACCAAATAGCATACTCCTCTGACAAATTGAAGTCTATGGCACTTAATTTTTGCTATTTTAAGTTTTTGAAACATGTTGTGGAAATGAAATAATAAATAATCATACTCATGCCTGTGAAATAACTAATGAGAGGTTTGGGATACATCTAGGTCTCTGTCATTACTATAAAATATGTCATCTATGTGTTTAAAATAAACTTGTAAATACCCATTTGCTTGGGGCAAATATTAGTTGATTTTTAGATTCTATCACCATGTCTGAATCCTGGAGGTCAGTTGATGACACCAACAAGGTTATCTTCCTTTATTAGTGAGTTTAATACTTGGGTCACAGGCTTGCTTTCTATCCCAACCCTTACGAACTTCATTATTAATGCTGTTGACCTTAGTGGCCTTCAATTTAATGAACCTTTTTTTTTAATAGTACCTTTTGTTTTTATTTTTTGTAGTGTTTTTTTCCCTAGTTACATGTGAAGACAATTTTTAGCATTAATTTTTACAAGATTTTCATTTCCAAATTTTTCTCCCTCCCCTCTTCCTAGACTAGTAGAAAATTTGATATAGGTTATACATATACTATCATGTAAAACATATTTCCATGTTAGTCACAGTTATGAAAGAAGAAACAGATCAAAAGGAAAAAACATGAAAAAGAATAAAGTGAAAAAAGTATGCTTCTATCTGCATTCAGAATCCATCAGTTCTTTATCATCACACAGTGTTGCCGATACTGTGTACAATGTTTTCCTGATTCTGCTCATTTCACTTTGCATCAGTTCATATAAATCTTTCTGGGTTTTTCTGAAATCTAATTTCATCATTTCTTATTGCACAATCATGTTCCATTACATTTACATGCCACAATTTGTTCAGCCATTCCCCAATGGATGGGCATCCAATCAGTTTCAAATATTTTGCCATCACAAAAAGGTCTGCTGTAAGTATTTTTGTACATATAGGTCCTTTTCCCTTTTTTGTGATCTCTTTTGGATAGTGGTATTGCTGGATCAAAGGGTATGCACAGTTTGATTGCCATTTGGGCATAGTTCCAAATTGTTCCAGAGTGGTTGGATCAGTTCACAACTCCATCAATAGTACATTAGAGTTCCAATTTTCCCATATCCTCTCCAACATTTATCATTTCTTTTTTTTTTTTTGTCATATTAGCCAATCTGATAGGTTTGAGGTGGTGCCTCAAGAGTTGTTTTAACTTGCATTTCTCTGATCAATAATGATTTAGAGCATTTCTTCATATGCCTATAGATAGCTTTGATTTCTTCATCTGAAAACTGCCTGTTCATATCCTTTGATCATTTATCAATTGGTGAATAGCTTATATTCTTTTTTTAAATTTATTTTATTAATTTATTTTGATTTATCAACAATCACTTCCATATGCTTTTGAGTTAAAATTTTTCTCCCCCTTCCTCCCCACCACCCTCCCCAAGACAGTGCACAATCTGATATATGCTATACATTTGCATTCCTATTAAACATATTTTCACATTAGTGAAGTTGCTAGTAAAAATTAACACCAATAGGAGGAACCATCAGAAAGAGGAAAGAAAATTCAACAGAGGGGAAAAAAAATGTTAGCGATTCAACTTCCATAGTTCCTTCTTTGGATGTGGATAGTATTTTCTATCATGAGGCCTCTGGAGATGTCTTAGATCCTTGTAATGCTGAGGAGGGTTAAGTTTAACAATATTAGTCATCGCACAACATGGCTGTTATTGAATGGCTTGTATTCTTATAAATTTGACTCAGTTCTCTATATATCTGAGGAATAAGGCCTTTATCAAAGATCCTTGCTGTAAAGATTGTTTCCCAGCTTTGCTTTCCTTTTAATATTGGTTGCATTGCAAAAGCTTTTTAATATAATCAAAATTATGTATTTCATAATGCTCTCTATCTCTTGTTTAGTATGAATTCTTCCCTTCCCCATAGTTTTGACAGATAGACTATTCCTTGTTCTTCTGTTTTGCTTATGGTGTCACACTTTGTCTAAATAATGCACCCATTTTGACCTTATCTTGGTATATAGTGTTAATGAACCTTCTTAAATCCCATGAGCTCTGTTTCTACCTTACAGGAGCAGTCTTAGTTAGATACCAATATTCCTGATCACCGCCTTTAAAATTCATGTTGGTGATCACCATCTTTCATACTTCCTTGCGGCTCCTAAATCTCTTCCATCTACATTTACCTCTACTTCAGTAGTCATTCTCTGTTGTTCTAGTCCATTACATCTGATCGTCTCCCTTCCTTTGCTCCCTTCAATCTTGACCCTAAAGTTAGTTCAGCAAGGTTCTATACTCCATTCTTGAATCCTTTGCCCTCTTATCCTGCTATTCACACCCCACTAATCCTCACCCCTAGGTAATCTCCATCATCTAAGGGATGCAACCATGTAGAGTTGGTCTGCTACAAGCTCATGTTACCTAATTTCAACTAGGCCTTCACAGAAACACAGCAACACTTTTATTCTTCTCTGGCTGACCCCGTCACATTTTCCAAAGCAACAGTTCCAAACATTCCAACTCAGTTCACAAAGAATTTGGCAAACTTTAATAAGCTCTAGATGCATATGTAAGGTATCATATTAGACATTGAAGATACAAAGGAAAAAATCAAATAATCCCTTCTCAGAGAAGACAGTTTTATGCCATCCCCCCTCTCTTAGTATATGGCCTTTCCTCTTACCTTACTTGAGAAGTAGATCTTTGGAGGCCGTCTTTCTTCTTCCACACTCTAAATCTTCTCTCATCCTCTTCACTTTTGCTTCTGTCTCAGAGTATGAAGAGGCCCTTGTCATTGCTGAGGCTAACGCCTCCATTTGTACCCTCAATATCCTCACTTCTGTAATAGGCCAGGCCTGACTCTGGCCATCCCGATTACTCAGGTTTGAGATTGGACCAAAATGAATTGCCCATAGAGTTAACAAAAGGGTTTATTTAGCCATAGCAGGGGAAAGATATTCACAGTTGAAAAGGACATCAAGCAAGGATAAAACATTTATTATTCATTTGGGGATAGCTTCCTTGCCCTTGTGTTGCTCATGACAACCTGTAGTTAGAAACTTGTAGAAGGAAACAAGTGACCACTCGTGCCCTGAAATTTTGACCAAGAAAACAATCCCAGCCCTCCAGGAATTTACACCCCACCCCACCACCCTCGGTGTAATTGTAATAGGTACACAGGTGTACACAGTTTAAGAAATGAAACTTGAACAGAGAACCCTGAGTACCAGAAGAATCAAAAGAAGCTGTTAGCATTAGCATCATCTTTTCTAGAAATGGCAGACATCCTATAAGATGGCACAGAGATAGAACATGGAATGCTGATTTCAGGAAACAGACAACAGCCCTTTTCATTATGCTTAACTGAGATCCTAAATGTAAGAAGTGGTATAATCCAGATTATTTAAAGCTTCTAGATTTTTTGAATTTATATGCCTAAAAAAAAGAGTAGTTGGAATAGTTTGACAACCATATTAACTTAATAATGTTAAATTAATTTTTTTCTGTTCTTTTTCTTCATTAGTGGTTCTCTAATCAGCCATTGAAAAATCTCCTTGTCACTTCAGAAGAGCAAACAGAAAGTTGTATAATTGAAAAAGCAAATATCATTGTGTTAGAAGAAACAAATCAAAATGGAAAAAATGATGTTTGCAATAAGCAAGACAATCATGATTCAGGAAACTATTCCAATGAGGATGAAACCAGTAGCAATAAAATGACTGAAGAAAAACTAGAACAGGAAACTATGCAACTAGAAACCGTCTGATGTATTACCTTGCCAGAGTTCCTACTGGGGGCCTGAGTCCCATGCCCTTCTTAGTAACTGTAAGAGAATTTTTGACAGAGAAATGAAGTCTAACCTTAGACTTTCAGCCCAAAAATTCTTAATACTCATCTGTTTAAAAGTGAAATTCCTAGCATTTAAAGAAGTATAACTATGAAGCATATTGCTCCTACATTTATAAATGTCTTCAAAGTTCTGTCTTTGAATTATATCCAGAAGTTGGACACCTGCCTTTCTAAACGATTTGATAAACTCACTCTAAACAGCATGCCATCAGTCAGTGTTTTGTTTTGTTTTAAAACAGCCTCAAGTACCAGAAAAGAAATTCTTGTGAAGCACAGCCACCTGTTGCTGGAAATTTCAAGTTGAATTGCCTCAGACTTTGTAATTAGAATTTAACTTCCTTTAATATCCTTTCATCCTCTTTATCATAAGAATCATAGATCTTTGAGCTAGAAAAAACCTCAAGAAATCATCTAGCCCAGCCCCTTGGCAAGTAAGGCAGCATTTTTCCATTTTACCAATAAGATGACTGAGGTCTAGAAATGTTATCTGGTTCTCCTTTGGTTAAGGTCACACAACTAGTAAGTTTTTGTTTAATAATTTACTAGAGCTATAACTTTTTAATTGTATTTTATGTACCTAAAATGACAGGGATATGGATTGTTTACTCAGGAAAAAAATATTTTTTTAAAGGTTTATTAGTGACTGTATGGAGACACCAATGATAATAACTCACATTTATGTCGTGCTTTGAGGTCTGTAGAATCACAACCCTGTGAACTAGGCAGTACAACTGTTATTATCTCAGTTTAGCAAATAAAGAAATTTACATATGAAGTCCATAAGATTTAAGGTATGAGAAATTAAGTGACCTCACTGGTGTCCTTATAGCATAATATAAAGTATAAAGCAGGATTCAAACCTAGGTCTTCTGACTCTTTTAAGTCCAGCATTTTTTCTGAAATGCCATGCTACCTCTAGAGGAATCTTTATTATCCCATGATATTGAAGACATACCATAGGCAAAAAGGAAGTGATAGAATGGGACTATGTCAGATTTAGGACTGGAAGAAACTAGTTTAAACACCTCATTTTATAGTTGAGGAAACAAATGCCTGCCAAATTTGTGATTAAGTAGTAGTATATTTCAGAGTAAAGTTATCAGGTGTCAGGAAATTACTTCAGTTAAAGAAAAAGCTATTATTAGCATGTTGTTTGACCATTTTGTGGATTAACTGTTTCCTTTTTTAGATACACCACAGTTTTCAGGCCATCTCCCTCTGCTCTTCAGCCAGTATATGCTCAAGAAATGCAAACTTTGTTATTAGCCTAAGGAATATGCAGGCCTATTTTTTAACCATATACATCCCTGATAAACAATTTCTGTACTTTCTACTCTTTACATTATCCATGCTATTCCTCCGCTAACATGCATAACCCAAATTTAACTGTTAATTGGCTGTGGACCTGAGTTATTGTTTTCCAGCTGTGGTATACGTGTCATTCAGTATCCTCAAATTACAAGATTTCTTAGGCCTGTATTAGGGCACAGGCCAATTCCTAAGACTCCATGGCCATTTTGGGTACATAGGGGAACTGATTTCAACTTCAGACTGCCCTGGTATGAATTTATTGTATATATACTTTTATATATAATTATTTTATATATACTTATATGTGTATATGTTGTGCATATTATTTTCTATAAAGTGAAAGCTCCTTACAAGCTGAGACTGTTTTGTTGTTGTTGTTGTTGTTGTTTTGTCTTTGTATCCACAATGCCTAGCAGACTTTATGGCACATAACCAACATTTTTTTTTACAGTTTTTTTTTCCTTTTAGGCAATTGGGGTTAACGTGACTTGCCCAGGGTCACACAGCTAGTAAGTGTCAAGTGTTTGGTCCGAGGCCACATTTGAACTCGGGTCCTCCTGACTTCAGGGCCAGTGCTCTATCCACGGTGCCACTTAGCTGCCCGCATAACCAATTTTTAATAAATGCTTTTTTATTGATAGATGTTCACATGCTGCAGACCCCCCAGAGGGCCCTGAAAATAATTAAAGGAAAAAAAACAATTCATCTACCTGCCTTCCTGACCAAAGGTCAGGAACTACTTGAATTTATAACTTAGTTTGCTAAAATATGGCAGAGACAACTTAGATGTTACAAGTTATTTTAGGAGTATACTCCATGCTGAATTGCAAAGAAATACACATCCGTCTTGATGAGCTGTTCGTCAGAAATCACCTTTACTCACTTGGTGTTTTAGTGACACACATTTTGTACATCCTCGTCAATCAAAGGCAAACTGCTTTTCTGTGATACAAACCAAACTGATTTCAACTTCAATGAGTTTCCTGGGTCTGTCCTACATTGCTAAAAGCTTGTAAATGCCTGAATTGGCCTACTAGAATGGACTGGGGCAGACTAGGGCGTTCTGCTAGCCAGTAGCACCAATGGTATTCATAGCTCTGTGGAAGAGTAATCATACTTAGCAAATTTGGCTGTATTTGCCCTATTTTTTTTTAAAGCACAATATATTGTTTCTTCTGGATGAAAGTTTCCGTTCCTTAGGGCCATAAAGAAATGTTACCTTTGTGGGAGAGAAGAGGAGAAAATATGGATATTAAAATTGAAAGGCACACTAGGAAATCATTGATCTTAAAAGGATCCTTGGGAGAAGGTTTGAGGACCAGGGATTTCAAATTTTAACAGTATGCTATGTCAGTGAAATGACAAACCTCACCTAGGTAGCAAAAAAGGAACAAGATAATGTGCATGGCAAGGGCAGGGTGGGGAGGGGTGTGAGAAGGGGACCTGTATTTTTTCTTAATTCTGTCATCCGTTATGTCCCTTAATGGGAACATTCAGTCAATACTATACACTGTTGGGGCTGGAAAGGGCCCTAAAACTTTTTTTAGTTAATTCTCCCACACACAATTTTACAAATAAGGAAATGGAGGTCTAGAGAGGTTATTTAAGATCACAAATTGAGTTAATGACAAAGTTGGTGCTATCATCCAATATCCCAGTTCTTAGAGTACTATTCTTTCCATTTCGACATGAGGCTTCATCTGAAACAATAAATGTGTTTTTATGACATACAGAAATCAGAATACTCATCTGAAGTCATAGATACGTGCCACATGACACACATAATGATCCTTTAGAGTGTCAATATAAACTAAAAATTTACCTGATTGTCTTTTTTTTATCCTTACAGCCAATAAAGTAGTGCTGAGCCAAAGAAGTGATACATTCCAAATATTTCCAAAACCAGAGTGTGAAAGGTTGTCAGAATCTATCACTATAATGTTTAAATTTGACTAGAAGAAAAAAAATATATATATATGGAATTCTTGCATATGATGCCTAAAGAGATTCACCTTTTGGACCAAGTAGTGTAACTGTCTATGTTTTAAGCATGAGGAAACAAGTTAATAAAAAAAATTCTGTTGAGAAACATGACAAATGTTTTAGGTGCTTTGTTGGAGTGTGGAGGACAAAAACCTTTTGACTTTATTTTCAACATATTCTAGGCACTTAATTTTGTTTTTAAATGAAAAAAAAATGGAAAATATGTGACCAGAAAAATGTCAGGGTTCTACAAACTTCAACCCTAAAACCTTTCAGGTTTTTTTAAAGAAAGGAATTCTAAGGGCTAAGCCAAGATGGCAGAATAAAAGCAGGGACTTGCTCGAGCTCTTCCCCAAACCCCTCCGAATACCTGTAAAAATGACTAAACAAATTCTAGAGCAGCAAAACCTGCAAAATGACAGAGTGAAGCAAATTTCCAGCCCAAGACAACTTGGAAAGTTGATAAGAAAGGTCTGTTGTACCAGGGTGAGAGTGGAGTAAAATTCAATGCAAAACACAACAGCACAGACTAGGCCCCAGCAAACCTGGAGTAGGCCTCAGGGGACTGAATCACTGGCAGCTATGGCAGTTTCCAGACTTCCCAACCAACAAACACCAAAGAACTTAGAAGGTCAGTAGGAAAGGTCTGTCGGAGTATGGTGTGGCCCCAGCCCTGGAGTGGTAGTGGAGGCAGCAGTGACCACTGCTTCTAGAGCTCTTGGCCCACAGATAGTGGGGAGATCAAGTGGCTGATCAGAGGGGGATTGTAGGAATCTGCTGGCACTGGAGGCAGGAATCTCTTGCTTTGCCCATGTTTGGATCTGGGTCACAGTCCTAGGTAGTGGTTCTGGGGCGAGGAGGAGTGCTGGCATGGTGGAGCTTGTGGTGGCAGTGTAGAGTGAATCCTCACAGTTCCAAGGCAAAAAAGAGTGCTTGTGGTCACTCATAGACCAGAGCCCAGGCCGGAAAAGGAGTGAACACCTCTCTCTTGATCATACCACCTTGGGAGAACTGAAAATTTACAGGTCCCTAGAAGTATTTCTGGAAACAGCTACACAAAACCCCTGAAGCTTGAGACAGTACAACCTCCACACTAGAAGCAGAGCCCTACCTTAACAGAGTTTAAAAGTGAAGTAATTGGCTGGGACATTGCCCAAACAGGAGGGAAAAAAAACTCAGACTACAAAATCTTACTTTGGTGACAAAAAAGATCAAAACATACAACCAGAAGAAGATAATAAAGTCAAAGCTCCTACATCCAAAGCCTCCAAGAAAAATATGAATTGGTCTCAGGCCATGGAAAAGCTCAAAAAGGATTTTGAAAATCAAGTAAGAGAAGTAGAGGAGGGGGGCAGCTAGGTGGCACAGTGGATAGAGCACTGGCCCTGAAGTCAGGAGGACCTGAGTTCAAATCTGTCCTCAGACCAAATGCTTGACACTTACTAGCTGTGTGACCCTGGGTAAGTCACTTAACCCCAATTGCCTAAAAAACAAAAACAAAACAAACAAGAGAAGTAGAGGAAAAATTGGGAAGAGAAATGAGAGTGATGCAAGAAAATCATGAAAAATGAACAGTCAACAGCTTGCTAAATGAGACCTAAAAAAGTACTGAGGAAAATAACACCTTAAAATATAGACAAAAAAAAAAAGAAAGAAAAAACGCTAACCCAAATGGCAAAAGAGGTCCAAAAAGCCAATGAGGAGAAGAATGCCTTAAAAGGCAGAATTGGTCATGGAAAAGGAGATCCAAAAGCTCAATGAAGAAAATAATTCCTTGAAAATTAGAATGGAGCAAATGGAAGCTAATGATTTTATGAGAAATCAAGAAACAATAAAACAAAACCAAAAGAATGAAAAAATGTAAGACAATGTGAAATAGCTCATTGGAAAAACAACTGAAAAAAAGAAGAAAGAAAAAAAGAAAGAAAGAAAATCCCAACTGACCTGGAAAATAGATCCAGGAGAAATAATTTAAAAATTATTGGACTACCTGAAAACCATGGTCAAAAAAAGAGCCTAGACAAGCTTTCAAGAAATTTCCGAGGAAAACTGCCCTGATATTCTAGAACCAAAATAAAAATTGGAAGAGTCCACCAACCACCTCCTGAAAGAGATTCCAAAAGGAAAACTCCTAGGAATATTATAGCCAAATTCCAGAGTTCCCAGGTCAAGGAGAAAATATTGCAAGCAGCCAGAAAGAAACAATTCAAGTATTGTGGAAACACAATCAGGATAACACAAGATTTAGCAGCTTCTACATTAAGGGATCAGAGGGCTTGTAATGATATTCCAGAGAGCAAAGGAGCTTTACAACCAAGAATCATCTACCCAGCAAAACTGAGTATAATTCTTCAGGGGAAAAAAATGGATATTCAATGAAATAGAGCACTTTCAAGCATTATTGATGGAAAGACCGTAGCTGAATGGAAAATTTTACTTTCAAATACTGTTGAGGGCCGCTCTTAAGAGTCTGATATGGGTTTAAGATCCAGGACAGAGTTTGACCTTTGCCCAGGCTTTAACCCAAAGGGCTCAATAATTAAGAAGCAGGGCTCTCCAAATCTCTCCCTTCTAGGAGGCTCCTGAGACATTCCTTCTCACTCTTTGAACCTAGATTTACATATGCACTCCTCTATACAGGCTCCAGGAAAAAGCCTTGGAATTTACAACCCTATCTAGGAACTCTGATAAAGAGGAAATGTATGTTATCACATCCTTAGCAGATGTTTTGGGGAGTGTCTCACGGGGAGGACTCTTTGAAGTTAGGATGGTTTTTCTATATATATATATCCTGTACCCTCAGAAGAATAAACAGTCAGTTTTACTGCTCCGCCTGGCCCATGTCTTCACCCATGTCTTCACATTTTATTTAGTGCCTTTCCATTCGGTGTACTATCTGGTTTCAGGCAACAAAATACAAGACTCAAAAGAAGCATAAAAAGGTAAACAGGAAAGAGAGATCATAAGGGACTTATCAAAGTTAAACTGTTTACGTTCCTACATGGAAAGAGGATATTTGTAAGTATTAGGGTAGTTGGAGGGAATATATATGAAAACAGAGGGCACAGGGTGAGTTGAATATGAAGGGATGGTATCTAAAAAATAAAATTAAGGGGTGTGAGGAATGTACTGGGAGAAGGAGAAAGAGAAGTGGAATGGGGTAAATTATCTCACATAAAAGAGGCAAGAAAAAACTTTTACAGTGGAAGGGAAGAGGTGGGAGGTGAGAGGGAATGAATGAATTTTACTCTCATTGGATTGGCTTAAGGATGGAATAACACACTCAACTCGGTATGGTACTTACCATACAGGAAAGTAGGGGGGAAAGGGATAAGAGGAGGGGGATATGATAAAAGGGAGGACAGATTGGGGGAGGGGGTAATCATAAGCAAACACTTTTGAGGAGGGACAGGGTACTAGCTGGGCAAGTCACTTAACCCCATTGCTTATCCTAAAAAAAAAAAAAGGAGGGACAGGGTCAAAGGAGAGAATAGAATAAACAAGGGGGGGAGCTCAGGATAGGATGGAGGGAAATGTTTTTCACAACATGACTATTATGTGTTTTGCATGACCACACATGTATAATCTATATGCAAATGTTTGCCTTCTCAATGTGGGGGGGGGAGGGAGAGAATTTGGAGCTCAAAGTTTTAAAAATGACTGTTAAAAATTGTTTTTTACATGCAACTAGGAAATAAGATATACAGGCAATGGAGTATAGAAATCTATTTTGCCCTACAGGAAAATAGAAGGGGAAGGAGATAAGAGAAGAGGGCAGGGTGGAAACGAGAGCAAATTGGGGGAAACGGTAATCAGAATGCATTCCATCTTGGGGTAGGGTAGGGGAGAGATGGGGAGAAAATTTGGAACTCAAAATCTTGTGGAAGTGAATGTTGAAAACTAAAACTTAATTAATTAATTAATAAAAAAAAAAGAAAAAGGAAGGAATTCTGTACCATGTATAGAGTAGCTATAGCTGAATCCACAAGAAGAGCTCCCATTCAGCAAACAATTCATTGTTCCTGCATAAGCACAAGCAAACTGATAGACTTTTGATACAGGGTTCAATTGTAGGGATCCTCAGTAGCAGTGGCTACTCATTCCCCACTGCACCCCTGACCCTACAAGAGGTGATAGACCCTGATTCTGCATACTCACTGGAGGGAAATTGAAAGTGACTGGAGGAGGCAGGACAGGGCACTTGAGCAGTATGGAATATACAGCAGTGCTTAGAAATTTAGGTTGGAAGGAGGAAGAAAATAAGTGATAGATCTGAAGAAAGGAGCACTAGAAGGCAGCTAGGGCTAACCCTCTTCCTCCTCTCAAGATTTCTTACAATGAGAACCAGAACCTAGCTGACCCTCGTAGCCCCATCATGAAATGGCCTGTAAGAGTCTGTGCATCAGTGGAAAGGGTAGAAGCCAGGTGTGAGGCTAGTGAGGTCAGGAATACAGTACAAGAAAAAGGCCCAAAGATACTTTACTCAAGACAGCCTGAATTTTAAAACCTAGTTTACAAGCAGCTAACAAGACCTAACAACTAACAAGAAAAAAAAATAAAATAGAAGAATGAGTAAAACCTCAAAGAGAAACCAAAGCACTTTCAACAAATATAATGTGAAGGACAATGAAGCAATTTTACCCAGTAAAAGGGAAAAACCTGTGAACTCCCTAGATACCATGGAACAATAGTGTGTGGGATGCCACTCAAATTTTTAAAAAAAGGTATCCAAGGAGAAACAGAAAGTCAATTTATTATTATTATATCAAACTTCGAGATTTGGGTGTCCCTCCACCAGAATACTCTGATGAAAGGAGACAGACAGAAGCAAAGGACCTGATTATATACACTAATGGGCAAATTCCCCCCTCCCACCAACTGGCCAATATTTGGCTCACATTCTCAATGTCCATAGAAACTGAAAACAAAACAATGAACACAATATACATATCTATATTTCTTAGTTTGCTGAAGTAATACCAAAGAAGCAATTAAAGATGTGCGGTCAAGCTGGACACTGTACTGTACAGCCAGGTCGCCATGATGGAAATATAGCAACAGGTGCATCAACAAAATACAGGGGGGGGTTTCTTCAGGAGTTTCAGCCTTGG